GGTCCCGGGTTCGATTCTGGTCAAGGGCATGTACCTTGGTTGTGGGCATATCCCCAGTAGGGGGTGTGCAAGAGGCAGCTGATCGATGACTCTCTCTCATCGATGTTTCTAACTCTCTATCTCTCCCTTCCTCTCTGTATAAAATCAATAAATATATTTAAAAATAAAATAAAATAAAATAAAGACAATGCTATTGCTAAACATGAGAGATTTGGTCCACTGATTTTGAAAGAAATGGAGTCACAAGAAATTCACCAGGAAATTCAGGAATTGGATTGTTATGATGATGTTCCAGAAGATGATGACATGATTGTCATTGAATAAATGAGTAAATTCTTGATACTGTAGGATTCACAGTTTGTCTGGTTTGTGTTGACAACTACCGTACTACCGTACCGTATACAGGTAATAAATTTCCTTTATTTTCATTTAACAATAAATGTGTACCATATTCTTCTTTATGGAAAAGTAAGACATCCCCTGAAAATAAGACCTAGCGCATCTTTGGGAGCAAAAATTAATATAAGACACTGTCCTATTTTTGGGGAAACAGGATATATATATATATATATATATATATATATATATATATATATATATTAAGAGTGAGATACCAAGGTCCAAGGACACTGAACAGATGTGGTGGTGTTTGGAGCCATTTGGCCTCCTGTTCTGTGTTGAAGCTGTTGCAAGGCTGTTTTACTGATATGGACTCACATGGTCTGTCTTCAGTTTCAAATGTAATAGATATTTTTATCAACAGTAAGACTGTATGTGTGTAGTATGCCATTCTGAGTCCAGGTTAGTAGAGAGCCTCAGCTTGATGGTCACACAGACACTGATCTGAATTCTCCTCTAGAATGGCCAATTCACATAGCTTCACTGAATCTTAGCTTCTTTATCTAAAAACTAGAGGCCCAGTGAATGAAATTCATGCACAGTGGGTGGGGGAGGGAGGTTTGCCTCAACGCAACTTGCACCCTCTTCAATCTGGGACCCCTTAGGCATCAGGCCTAAAACAGCAGTCAGACATCTCTCTCACAACTTGAGACCACTGGTTCCTAACCATTTGACTGCCTGATTGCCCTTAACCACTTCTGTTTGCCAACCTGATCACCCCTTATCCGCTTCTTGCCAGCCTGATTGCCCACAACTGCCCTCCCCTGCTTCCCTGATCACCCACAACTGTTTTCTCAGCCAACCTGATTGCCCCCAACTTCCTTTCCCTCCCCTGCAGACCTGATCATCCCCAACTCCTCTCCCTCCTCCGCCAGCCTGATTGCCCCTAACTGCCCTATCCTCCCATGACCCACCTCTTCTATGCAAAGTGGCAGAGACACTGGCACTGGCCTCCTCCTCTGCACCACAGAGCCACAGGACCCCTAGACTCTCCACATGGAACGGCCACTGGGCCCTGCCTATGCTGTGCATGCAGCCATCTCGTGGCGATCATCTTGTGGCGACGTTACTCGAGGGTGTGACACCACCTAGGTTCTTATTATATAGGGTTAGTGGCCCAGTGCATGAAATTCATGAATATTAAAAAGGAATGAATTAGAGGGAATATTTTAATATTGCTGTTTGCCCTGTTTTTTTTTAATAATAGAAGTGTCAGAGATGAAAGAAAATTAGTAAAATTCTATATGAAAATCTTTTTCCTGTCAGAGTCTGGGGCATACCATGGGACCTAGAATCAAGTTCCTGCCCGCCACCTGCATGCACTCCAAAACCACAGGAGACCCAGATCCTATTGTCCCCACCTCCCCAGTCAAGCCCCTCCAGGTGGGGGGTGCAGCCTCAGGTTCCCTGGCCCAGTGTTGGGTTCGGGGGCGCAGTCTCAGGTCCCCCAGGAAGCCCTGCCAGGCAGGGGGCACAGCCTGAAGTCCCATGTCAATCCATGCAGAGCGGGGGGTGCGGCCTGAGGTCCCTAGCCTAAGCCAGGCGCCATTCAGCATCAGGTCCCTATTGTTTGGTCTTGACATTAAGGCTTCCCAGCTAATTTGCATATTCCTCTATTATATAGATAGATGGGGATAATAATCATTCTTAGTTGTGGGTTGCTCTGAAAATTACATGAGTTCCTGTATCTACATAGGTTAGTACAGTGCTAATAGCAACAGCCATCATCCGAGATGTCATGATTGTGGTCATTGCCAGGCTATGGCAAGAGGTTAAAGAGCAAGGTGCCTCCCTGTGTTTGCATGTGCTGTTCCTTCTGCCTGGACCACTGTCCTTATAGCACAATTTCTTTAGTCCCTTCATGAGCTCACTAAGAGCCTCATTTCAGGCTCCTTTTCTGGTAGGTATCTCCTGAACATAACAGCAGCAGGGTCACAGACCCTGACCTTGCAAAGCTGCTACTTAATTTTTGGCAGTATGGATTTATTTGTCTCTCTTACAATTCCTGTGCTATTTGAGAGCAGTGGCTGCTGCTTTGCTCCTGGACCCCCTAACCTGGCACTTCAGTGTTTGGTAGGTGACCCATTAAAATATGTTGAAAAAATGGACATGAGGTTAGGGCCTAAGTAGATTTTTTGAACTTCTCATGCTTCCATTGGACTCCTAAAGAGTAGTTACTGTCAGAAAGAATAATCTGAACTATTTGGGGAACTTCCTCTAATGGTTGGGCATCACAAGTTTATCTAGTACTAGAGGCCTGGTACACTAAATTCGTGCATGGGGGTAAAGGGGTGGTGTCCTTCAGCCCAGCCTGCACCCTCTGCAATCTGGGACCCCTCGAGGGATGTCTGATACCAATAGGATTGGGCCTAAATGGCCAGTCAGATATCCCTCTCACAATCTGGGACTGCTGGCTCCCAACTGCTTGCCTGCCAGCCTTCCTGATTACCCCTAACTGCTTCTGCTTGCCAGTTTGACCACCCCCTAACCACTCCCTTGCCATCCTGATTGATGCCTAACTGCTCCCCTGCCAGCCTGATTGCCCCTAACTGACCTCCTCTGCCGGCCTGGTCACCTCTTGTCCTCTCTGAAGGCATGGTCACCCTTAACTTCCCTCCCCTGCATGTATGGTCACCCCTAACTGTCCTCACCTGTAGGCCTGGTCCCCTGCAACTGCTCTGCCCTGCAAGCCTAGGTGCATCCCCCACAACTGCCCTTTCCTGCAGGCCTGGTTGCCCCCAACTTTCCTCCTCTGCCAGCCTGGTTCTCCCCCCTCCCCCAAATGCTCTCCCCTCCTGGTCTCATAGTCCACAACTGCCCTCCCTTGCAGGCCTAGTTCCTTGCAACTGCCCTCCCCTGCTGGTCATCTTGTGGCAGTCATCTTGTGTCCACCTAGGGGCAGCCATCTTTGACCACATGATCTTGTGTGTTGAAGTGATGATCAATTTGCATATCACTCTTTTATTAGATAGGAATAGTCCTGCCATTAAAATAGAAATACATAAAGAAACTGGCATTTAATTATCAATGTAATTGTTACTGTCAATAGAAAATAAATAGTGCTAATCAGTAATAAATTACAAAGAATTGTATCTAATATTTCTTCATTTTAAAAGGCTTTTTTGAACCAGGTCTGGTGTTTTATAAACTGCTGTGGGAAGGTGAAACTTTGGATTTCTTAAGGTGCTCTGTAAACTGCTAAGAGAAACTGAAAATGTGGATTTCCATTGTCATTTTTTTTCATTGTAGACTCTATTACTGATGTCTCTCTTTTTCTCCCCCTTTGCCTTTCTCCAGCCTGCCCCTCCCCCAAGGCCTTCATTGCACTAGGGTCTGTGTCCATGGGATATGGACATATATGCATATAAGTTCTTTGGTTGATCTCCTCCTGTCATTTTTAAAGACATGGCATTGGTTTAAATATATATACCGAGTGCGTGTAGTAAGTGAATCCAGTATAGGTTTGAACTTGCACTAGGCCTTATTCTTGCCAAAATTTAGAAAACCTATTTAGAAAAATTCCCCTTATTCCTGTGCCAATTTCTCTAGAAGCCAAACGTTTTCATCATAACATTAACCTTCCTGCTTCATCTGCAAAAGAACAAAGCTGAAGTTATTGAAATGTGATAAATTATGATAATAATCTATCTAAACTGTGGGAAGCCATTATTGACTAGCTCATATGTGTGTTAATACCTGGAGAACTTGGCATTACTTGGTGTTTTGAGATAACTTCACCTAAATACAGGGGCATTGATAAAATAGTCTCAGCAGTGTCTTTTAATTATGTCTCTTTTGTGATCTTTTAAAAGTAGGTAGAGACTTTCATTAAAAACCCTAGAACATTAAAACAATTTCATTAATTTCTTAAATTTATGAACCGTTTTATTCATTCATTTCAAAATATTTATAAAGAATTCGGGAGCCCATTCCTTTATATAACACTTAAGTGAAGCTGGAAGGTAGCATTGTAGTAAGTATAGTACAAAGAAACTTGGCTTTAGAATTGGAGCATAATTTATAATTGGATGGCTATGCAAGTTTCTAAATAAAAGTGATCACCATTTATTGACAACCTAAATGCATTCTTTGCTTGTTTCTTTTAACCAGATATACACCCTGTGGGCTGTTACACTCTTCTCCCTCTCCTCATGAACCCAGAATAGTTTTATTAATAGGAATATATGATGTTTATGTTCTTAAAAAATCAGGGTGGTCTTAGATGTCTGTCTTCCATTCTGGCATTTCCCTTTATACAACCCTTTTGAATTTTCTGTTTAAAAACTGGCATTGGGATAGCTTTTCTTTGGCCTAATGCCTGGGTCGCATATTGCAGCAATGTATTAGGAATGTTAAGACATAAGTCCCCCAAAGAAAAATGTTTGTTATGAAAATAGAGCTGAGGTGACACTTAGAATTAGAGCTTCTTAACTTGTCTAAATGACAGTTAATGATCTTTTTCTTTTTCTTTTTTATTATTTTAAGAGGGGGAAGAGGGGAGGAATGAAAGGAATGCCCAGAGGCTGAGGTTGCATTTGGTTCACCAAACTGTTAGATGTCAAATGCACTCTACTGATAATACATCTTTTGTCTCTTTTTAGGAGCTAATTTTGTTACTCGAAAAATTAGCCGGTCAGTAGCTAAAATTTACCTTGGACAGCTGGAACGCTTTAGTTTGGGAAATCTGGATGCCAAACGAGACTGGGGCCACGCCAAGGACTATGTAGAGGTAGGAATTAACTAACTCATGTTCTTAAAAATACCTGTATCAGTTGGTGCTTAATGCCAGGCCTCCAGTGGTAGAGGTAGTAGCACATAAAATTTTGCTAATGAGATATGTTTAAGCTCATACTGACTTCAATTAAGGCTCTTTTGTTCAGCAGTACATATAGATTACACTGAATGTTGCTTGAATGAGGAAGTTTTTTTTTTTTGTTTTTTTTTTTAATGTGTTGGTCATTGTTTTAGATGATAGATGAAAAAATGTTTCATTGGTGTTCTTCACTTCCAAAGATTTTTTATAGGTCCCAACTTTTTGCACCTTCTCTTTCCTCTCTGCCCAATACACATACAACTGTGAAATAATTTTTTTTGGTATAAAGGTACTGTTATTAGAGAATTAAACTCCTGTGTCACTCATGGGAGCAAGGTGTAGGTTCTTGGGGCATCACTGAAGTAAGTATTTTCAGAGGCCCCTACAGGAGGATGGGATATGGATGAAAGGTTTATTTGGGTAGAGTTAAATTTCTCTGGTTCCTAAGTCCCCTGCCCTAAAATAGTTCTGGAAAAGATGCAGCTGGGGTTCCAGCAAAGCCAAAAAAAGACCAGTGTCCAGAGCTTCTATTCCATGTTTCAACAGGTTGTGGCTCAGTATCAAAGCTAATTAAAGTCTATTAGCCCATGTGTGGAGTCCAACAAGGCTGTGCACTATGTGGACACAGGGGAAAGTATCCCCCTGCCAAGGGAGAGCCAGGCACCAGGTGTGCCTGAGAGAGAAGAAAGAAAGGGAACTTCTTTTGGTTGGAAACTTTAAATAATCAAGTTTTGTCTGCTTGCATTGGCCTCACCCATCTTGGCCACTGACTTGCTTTCAGGTGTGATTGACAGACAAGCACCTTCCCACATCACTCAGACCTTACTGGGTATTCATCTAAGCTGTCTTTGTCATCCCCTTCCTCCATCCATCAGCAGGGAACCGACTTGGATAATGTTAAATACAGCTTTTTGGCAAAGCTGTATAAATGGCACACCTAAATCCAGTCTTCCCTTTCATCCTTTCCTATTAAATAATAACCAGGTTATTACAATGGCATTATTATTAGTTCTCAGATGTTCAAGAAATACTATATAATTCCAATTTGTATAATATAAGACATTCAGATTTACATTGTTCTATTAAATTACTCTAAGAGTAATATTCTTACAGAGCTTTTGGTTTCTGCTGCTTATGAGTCTGTTTATTGCTCTATACACTTACTAAAGTGTATAGAGCAATAAACTGATTTTGCATGCCAGTGTACTTTGTTCATTACACAAAGAGAGACACAGAGAGATGTTGAAGATGCTACTGCAGAATAATGGATATAGTTAAAGGGAAATTTAAATATTCACTCCTAAGATTTATATACTGCACATTAAATTTTGGGTTAAGTTACACATATATAAGGACAGTGATTTTTCTTTGAAGGAACATTTTATCTTTCTCTAACCAGCGTGCTTTAGATATCATTGGTGATTCTGTGGCCAGACCTGAATGAGCATGATAGTGACATTTTTATTTCCCCTGGAGCCCACTTGTCCTTGTTGAGGTACATATAGATTTCCTGTGCTCAGGAGACTATTTCTGTCCTTAATGATTGTCTCTGGGAAACTGGATCTGACTTCCTTGTTCATTGATGTGATTCAGAGAGAAACTGAACATACAAAGGAAAGCAAACAAGTAGTTCACTGGCTAAAATAGAGGTTAGCTTTGCATTTGTGACTATCTTTATTTATAACAATTAAAAATTTGTATTTTAACACCTATTACTGATTTATATTATGGACAAAAAATAGTTCTTATTTTAAATTTTGAATAGCACAACATTAAATATGTTTAATACTTAATGTTTATATTAAAATATGTTTTTCCAAGCTATAATTACAAAGAAGCATTTTATGACATTAGTCAGATATATTTTAAGAGCATTACATTAAGAAAAATATAAGACCACAGTTTCAGAAATTATAAGAAAGTAGAGAAAGGAGATGTTAACAGGACAAGTTGAAAATGTCTTTTGTTTAACCTATATGGCCTTACCTATGTACAAAATGAAGAAGGTTTTGTAAAAATAAATACATATTTCTTCAATAATAGCATTTGGATGTGTAGCCTTCTAGCTGCCTGACTATACTTAGGGCTACATAGAAGATTGTATTTGCATCCCTCTATTCAAACTCTGGTTCTCTAAGTTCAGGAAACAAATAGGTCAAGTTTCATTCTATTTTATTTTATACTTTTGCACTGGGGTAGAATAACAGGTTATATGTAACTCAGAAATATATTTTAATAGAGAAACATCAAAATGTTAATAATGCTTATTACCAGTTATGTTTGTTGTTTTCCTTATAGTTCTATATTTTCCATATATGTGAAATGGATATGTATAAAGTTTCTAAATCAGGAAACCAAAAAAGTGACATTTTTAAAAATAGGCTAAAATATCTACACAAAAAAAAAAAGTGCCTGAGACTGTTAAATAAATATATAAGTAATGAGGAAATCTGTTGTGAACTTAGTGGATCTAGAAGAAGGATTCTGCTCTCATTTGCCTCCCAAATGGGGCGGCTACCAATGCTCCCCTGTGTAGCTCAAACTTGGGTACAAAGGGGCCCACATCTGTATTCATTTGAAATAAAGGTATTTTATAAATATTTAGGCTCAAAGACTTCAAAAAGGTCTTCCCAAATGATGTCATTTGAAGATTCCTTCACAAGATCGTGTCAATACAGCATACCCAGAAGCCAAATTAAAGAGCAAGATATTCTGGTCTTTTGGTAAAGTGAAATATTGTCAAATTTTACAGAGAGACATATAAAATTAAGTTGCTCTCATGGGCATTGAAGACCTGATTTGTTCCACAGTCCAAGTGGGCTTTTTGTATTAGTGATCACCTTGTGGTTCTGACAGTGACACATGTTGATGATGTCAGAGTATTTTTATAGTTCTCAATGATGGATTCTTGATTTCTAAAAACTATCATTAAGTAAAAATTCATAGTTTGCTATTTTCATTTTAAGAAATACCATCTCTTGCATTTTTAAATGTAGTAAAATGTTGCTAGAATTAAAATAAAAAAGCATAAGAATAAAAAAAGAGAAGCATTGTTTGTTTACCATATATCTGCATTCTGGCACTGTAGTCAGCTTTGAATGGGCCATCTTGGCGAGCTCAAGTCCAGCAGCTCTTATGGGTGTCTCCTCTACGCATGTTGCAATTGCACACTCCCTCTCTTTTCACACAGGCAGATTGTACTGGTGTCTTTAGATTAAGAACCTTCCATGTTGTTACTTATGAGTGAATTTCCATGATGAAGAGTAAAGCATTTGACACAGGGGGTGGAAGTGACTTAGCTGTCAGCATTTTGCTTAGCCAGGTTTTATATCTCAATTCGCACATCTGTGGAAAGGACATAATAACAGCCCTGTAAAAAATTAGCATTAATGTGCTGTATATTACATGATTAGAATCTACCTTCACCTTGTAAACATTTTTGCAATAATTTATACAAAACCACTTCCTGTTGCTGAGTCAGAACCATCAACATCTATTTATACCCTTGTTTCCTAGATCAAAATGATTTTTAAAATATTTGAATAGGGAGTATTTTATTTTGAAATGAAGAATATAAAAACTATATTAAATTATATTATATTTAATAATTAAGTAATATGCAGTTACGTCTTTTCCAATGTTTTAATATAAACATTTTAAACAGAGTAATTGAATTTCTTTTACCATACAGTAAATTCCCAGATTCTGTAATGAACATTTTTATTGCATTCTGAGAAACAAATATTAGTATTTAAAAATTGCTGTGGTAGAGCTATAAGTACTCAATTTACACAAACATAGATTATAAAATTTTTGCATTTTTATGGGATATAGTCAGTTGATAATTCAAACTTTTAAAATATCTTTATCTTTTTAAATTATTATGATAGCACAAAACCTGTTTTCATGCCTGCCTTCCTCTTTCTGCATATTCAGAAAACACAATGGGGGCTGTATACCAGATCCAAGCCCATTCATGTGGTCAGTATTGCTTGAGCAGCACCCAAAAACTGCAAACCAGAGAACCTCTAACTTTCCTGAGTGACACTGTTCCTTCAGGGAGCCTTCTATTGAGTACTAATCATGGTCATTGTTCTAGTGGCTGCAAATGGCAGTTTCTAAACTTGGTTCCAAAGCTAAGTAATCCTGCAAAATGCTATATTGCACAAAGATAAGCATGTGTCTTTTATGCAAAACTGACTTCTCAAAACCTAAGATATGTGAATCTGCACTGGTTAATAGAAGTTTTCTCAAAGTTATCTAACCTTCCTACCATTTTAATAAAAAATAAGTATTAACATCTAGCAGGACAGAGCTGGGAAATGGCACCATGTGTTTAAATAAATCAACAGTAAGCAGTTCGGTTAGCAAGGCCCCATCATGATTCCACCTTGATCAAACTAACTGATAGAACACAACTGGAGCCAGAAAATACTTATAAGAACTAGACTGGAAGTGCCTTTAAGCTTTTACCTACTAATAAGATGGTCCCTTGTACTTGGAATATGCAGGTAATCAAGTGACCTAAGTCTGAGCTCTTCCCAGCACTCAGTAAAACGCCAACAGCTGACCATGCGGGTGCTCCTGAAGAGATATGACAGTCCAGGGGCTGTCAGGGGACCCTTGAGTCATTGGGTGAGGATGGAGAATCATCTGAATTTTAATATTGCTTTCCCTCACACACCTTTTTCTTTCTTTCTCTCTTTTTTCTTTATTTATTTTTATGGGGGGCAGAGTGGCAGGGAATACAGATTAATTTTTAAAAAGCTACCATTAGAAATAAAAATAATAGTTGTCAAATGATGAATATTGGGAATTTATTATAGGCCAGAAACTTTACTAAGAACTTTTTATACATTATAAGTATATATAATAATATATACAACAATCCTGAAAGGTAGAGAGTATGTTCTCAT